AAGGCTGCTTCTCGGTCTCGGGAAACCCCGGCCCACAGCCGCCCCTAGCCATCTGCGTTTCCAAAACCCGGAGTTACCTTGCCAACAGCGTGGAGGAATTCAGATAAGCACCCTATTTGCAGTAATTTTCCAACCCTTTTGCTGAAAGTTGAGGGGGCCCTGAAAAGGGCCTTTGTTACAGAGCTCCAAGATGTTTAGCCGCCGAAGCCATACAGGGTACGGCCCTGGCGTTTGAGCGCGTAGACCACGTCCATGGCCGTGACGGTCTTGCGCTTAGCGTGCTCGGTGTAGGTGACGGCGTCCCGGATCACGTTCTCCAAGAACACCTTGAGCACCCCGCGGGTCTCCTCGTAGATGAGGCCGGAGATGCGCTTAACCCCGCCGCGGCGGGCCAGGCGCCGGATAGCGGGTTTAGTGATGCCCTGGATGTTGTCGCGCAGAACTTTCCGGTGGCGCTTGGCGCCCCCTTTTCCTAGGCCTTTACCCCCTTTGCCGCGACCGGACATTGTCGAGAGGCCAGAGAACAAGAGGTGCTGGTGGAGGAGCCAGCTTCCTCTTATATGTAGACCCTGCGGACCCGATTGAGAACTGAAAGAGCGGTGGCGGGAAGTCCCTTTGAGTTGGGGGAGGGGACCTAAAAGGAGAACCGGCTTCCCGTGCTATATTATCTTTTGTTCTCTCAGTTCTTTTTAGTACTAAAGACATAGGCTATTTTTTTCTTTCATTTCATGTGACTCCTACCCCATTTTCATTAAGCAACACAATTTTAACACTATAGAAGATACACAAAACAAAACGAATAAAAAGTTTTTTTCTAACGCTATTTGCATTAAAACTGTATTCGGGGGCATTTTTCTCCTTAATATACTGTGGGAATATACCCTACATGCTAATTTCCTAGAAATAGAACAAGATATACTCATAAAATACAGAATTTGAGTATTGTTCGGGTATATTACTAAATTCTTTCCCACCTATTTTCACTTTCAATGTTGGAATGGAGAATGATTCCCCCAAATATGACTCTCGGATACACTGCTTTTGAAAATGGAAAGACCTCAGAATCAAAGTCCCTTTAACTTTGCTTTGTTTCTTTTTCCCAAATGCAGGGAAGGACTTTCTCTGGAATTTCCTGATCTGACCAAAAAAGCTTCTTACCAAAAGAAATAGAATTGTCTTCTGTCCCCTCTGTTACCTCATTATGTATTACAGAAAAGATGGAAGAATGCAACTACGCCTGGATGATAAAACCTGCTTCTCAGGCTCATTCAAATTTCAAAGAGAATCATAAGTTAATTTCTATCTTCCTGGTTCATTCATTCTCCCTAATAATAATGTACTGCTCCTCAAATAATTGTCTACATTACCCATTTCCTCTTTCGCCTATGAAAAAGGGTATAAAAACTTCTGTATTCCATTAGAGGGTTGGGATTATTATCCTGTGATCCCTGCTCCTGTACTTTAATAAATCTGTATGCCTTTACCTCTATTAAACTGTTTTTGTCAGTTGATTTTCAGTCCTTCAGAAGGCGAAGGGGGAGTTTTCCCTTGGCGCCTATTCCAGCAACAGTTCCTGTTATTTCTACCTTATTAATATTGGGTAGTACCATTTTAAATAATCTAACTGTAATAATCTGGATTTGATTTCTTAGTAGAGAATTAACTTTTTAAAAAAGTAAACCAGCTGGTTAGTTAGTCCAATATTTTAAATATTTCTCCACTGGTTTGAGGAACTTAATTTATCACATATTGACTATTTCATTTAAAAATTGTTTTGAGTTTCTGTTGTTCCAGTGATCATTCCATATGTAGTTCAGAAGTGTAATCATATGTAACACTGAAGATTATTTCAGTATTTAATAGTGTAATTCTCACCTCAAAATTTTTTTCAAAAAATTTCTACTATCATCCTTACTTCTTGAGGCTACAAGTCATCTTATCCAGTTAAAACAAATAAATTGTGTTAGGACTTTGGATAAAACTCTGTCAAATCTATACATTTGTTAGGGTAAATTTATTATCTCTGAAATTGGTGTCTTCCCAAACTGGAAAATGCCAAATCACTCCACCAATTTTTTTAAAAACTTGCTTTAATTACAAGAGCAATTAATTGTCATTAATGAAAAAGTAGAAAATTCAAATGTAAGAAAAAAACATACACATTTATCCTTCTAAGAAAATTTTTATAATTATATACTTCAAATATTTTAGGTTGCATATACTTGGTTAAACAAATATACAGTACTATTGCTCAAACTGAGAAATTGTAATCACTTCCTCCAGCATTAATATGCAATCTCATTGTTATTTTCTTGCTACTCTTTTTTCTTGAAACTTTTTACAGTTCTTTCATAGTTCTTGCATTCTTTCCCACTACCTAACAAATGTAGCCACAAACTATTAGTTACACTTGCAAAATACATCCTGTGCACAAGCATTTTATATCTAATTATTAAGTTAATACACTAATTTAAATCAATTGGGTTGGCAAGCGTGGTGGCTCACATCTCTAAACCAAGCACTTTGGGAAGCCTAGGCTGGAGAATTGTTTGAGGCCAGTAGTTCCAGACCAGCCTGGACAACATAGTGAAATCCCCTGTCTACAAAAAATTAAATTAGGTAGGCATAGTGGTGCATGCCTACAGTCCTAGTTAGAGAGGTTTGAAATAGAAGGATCCCTTAAGTCCAGGAATTTGAGAGGCTGTATTGAGCAACAATCGTGTACTTCACTACAGCCTGGACAACAGATAAAGTTGGGTACACAAATTCTAAAAAATCCTATAAAAAGGTGAAATATTTTACTATATTGGGAGTTCACTCAATTGCCTATTGTTGAAAAAATAGGGTGTGAGAAAATGCTCCTTAGAATTCAGTGGTTGGGTGGGGGTGGTGATGAGGGGAAAGTGTGAGTTTGAGTAGTAAAATGCTTGTATTTTAAATTAACCTGACAACTTTAGTATTTCACTTTATTATGAATTTAGACCACAAGCCTCAGTACTTGTTAACACAAATGAAACTACAGATGTTTCATTTCTCCTTACAATTGTTATCTTGAAACATTTATACTCATTTAATAATTCATGGCAATTAGGCTCAACAAATTGTTAATTATACAAGCACAGATCACTCAATCAAATTTTAAAAATATTTTAAATATTTTTTTTGTATTTTGTACACTTAAAACACAATTCAGATTTTCCATAAACGCCATCGGCCAAGTGTCCGAAATATACCAGGAGTCTTTTTAAAAAGGGTTCAGTGAGCAGAAGTAGGAAGCAAAATTTTGCAACCTGAACAAGGAAAAAACAATCGGCATGGGTACTCATTTGATTATAAGCTATTTGCAATGTCCTATTAAATAATCCCCCACGTGAAATTGTCAGCCTTGCTAGCAATACTATTCCTGTCAAGAGCCCACAACACCCTGCACTTCTCCAACTCATATACAGCTTTCCTCAAGTCATATAATAGAGCTGCTTGCAGTCATAATTCTAATGCAGAATGTCATCATATTTCCTTGACTTTTCCCTTACGTCTGCTACGTTTTACTCTTAATAAAGACAATGGTAGGCAGCCGTGACTCGGTTTCCCCCACGTTTCGCTTCTTCACTCAACATAAAACAAGTGTTAAGTTCTTTTTCAGAAGGTATAGGTGGCCCTGAAAAGAGCCTTTGGAGGTTGAACTCGACTTACTCGAGTTGCTGTAAAGCCAGGCTGTTACTTGCCCTTGGCCTTGTGGTGACTCTCGGTCTTCTTGGGCAACAGTACGGCCTGGATGTTGGGCAGAACGCCGCCCTGCGCGATAGTGACTTTGCCCAGCAACTTGTTGAGCTCCTCGTCGTTGCGGATGGCCAGCTGCAGGTGGCGCGGGATGATGCGCGTCTTCTTGTTGTCGCGGGCCGCGTTGCCTGCCAGCTCCAGGATCTCGGCGGTCAGGTACTCCAGCACCGCCGCCAGGTACACCGGCGCGCCGGCCCCGACCCGCTCGGCATAGTTGCCCTTGCGGAGCAGGCGGTGCACACGGCCCACGGGGAACTGGAGGCCGGCCCGGGAAGAGCGAGTCTTAGCTTTCGCGCGAACTTTGCCGCCTTGCTTGCCACGTCCCGACATGATAGTCAGAACAAACTCGCTGCAAACCGCTAACTAAGGGAGGCCACAGGGGCGGCACTTTTTATAATCATTATTGAGCGCGAAAAAGAAGATGTGTCATTGGTTAGGATTGTAGCTTTGTTTCAGCCAATGAAAATGCGACCTCTGATTTCACGCATTCTGGTTGGGCAAAACTTTCCTCTTACTTCACCAAGAATAACCACCAATCAGACACGGGACTTTAACTCCACCTTATTTGCATGAGAGCTTCTATATAAAAACGGCACATCGTGCCCTGCTTCTGCTATCTTTTTCTCTTCAACTCTTTCCTAGTTCGATTTGACTATGCCTGAGCCAGCGAAGTCCGCTCCTGCTCCGAAAAAGGGCTCCAAGAAAGCTGTCACCAAGGCGCAGAAGAAGGACGGCAAGAAGCGCAAGCGCAGCCGCAAGGAGAGCTACTCCATCTACGTCTACAAGGTACTGAAACAAGTTCACCCTGACACTGGCATCTCGTCCAAGGCTATGGGAATCATGAACTCGTTCGTCAATGACATCTTTGAGCGTATCGCTGGCGAGGCGTCGCGCCTGGCGCATTACAACAAGCGCTCGACCATCACCTCCAGGGAGATCCAGACAGCTGTGCGCCTGCTGCTGCCCGGGGAGCTGGCCAAGCACGCCGTTTCCGAGGGCACAAAGGCTGTTACCAAGTACACCAGCGCCAAGTAAGCGGCGAGTTGGCTACAAACTAAATTTTAACGGCTCTTTTAAGAGCCACCCATATTCTCAAAAAAAAGAGCTGTCACGTGTATTCTTCCTATCCCAGCCACTTGCAAACCACTGTGGCTCACTACAATGCTTTTTAGTTTTAAGTAGGCCAATTACTTAACAATTTCTTAGCACCTTACCTGTCAAGGTAAGTTAGAGATCCCCTAGTGAGTAGGAATTTAACAATACTTGACCCTGGCAAGCCTCTTGAACTCGTTAAACAACAAGGGCTTGAGATCTTTAGTTTAAGAACTTAAGAATTTACTGTCTTATTAAAAACAGCCTGCCGGTTAGCATTAAGTAGCGAGATAGAAGAAAATTTTAAGTTCTAAGCAAGGTAAAATGTCCGCCGGTCTGTCGCCCGATATAAGTTGAACTTTGTGCCCAGCTGCAGGTTTTACGCGGCAAGTTTGAATTTGCCCGGGAAGTTTGAATTTGCCCGGGGGGCGTTGGCCCTTCCTCTCGGCAGCCTGATTGGTTGGTGGTATCCAGGAAGCGAAGACCGGTGTGCAAGCACGCCTCTCCCCGACTCCCCCCCCCCCAGACTCGCTGAGGAATCTGGGTTAGTCCATTCTATGTTTAATTTATTCCTTTTCTTTAGCATTTTATTGCTTTGGGGAAGGAGACTCGAGATTTTCTTAGGCTAAAAAGG